CAGAATAAAGCGTCAATGCTTATTCGTCGTATCGGCGTATGCACCGACCGATTGCAGTATACCGGAAATCAAGGATGAATTATACCAGGACCTTTCTCAACTACTACAAAGTGCTCAATCAACTGACGTCGTAGTAGTCGCCGGGGATTTCAGTGCTGAAGTGGGATCCTGGAAGAATCAGAAAGGCTTCTTGGCGGACCACATGCAATCTCAGACAACCGGACGGAAAACGGAGATCGCCTACTTCAAATCTGCACGGACCACGGATTGTTCCTGTCAAACAAATTTCTCACACAAGAAATGCCATCGACTTACATGGAAGCGCCAAACTCTTCACTGTGCTGGACACAAATCGACCACATCGCCATCAGTTACCACTCGAAGGGATCAATTCCAGACAGTCCCTCTTACTGGTCAACAGCTATGGATTCAGACCACGCATTGTTACGAGTCAAGCACCATGTATTGCGATCGGTAAGGTTGACGCAGTGTGAAACCCAGTTCTGGTTCCAGTTGCGAATTTTATATATGGATTGAAGACCCAGTAAGTCCAAATCTACCTTGTTCGTACTACTCCAGGTCTTCAGTTGACCACCCAGTAGGCAACGCCATCCATGGCACGGTGCGGGGGCTACAGCCTGTTGCAAGAGTTCATTGTCGGGCTTTCAGAAGTCGTGGCAAAACCACCGAAGGCACTGGTGTAGCATTTTCGAAAACAAATCATGGTACAATAATCTTTATGAGAAACAAAAACGTTCCGTAATTTGCATGTGGGTTGAATAATGCTAAGTTGCCAGGCCAAGACAGGTGAATTTTCTTGAGGAATCCACAACCAAAGCCTGACCTGAAAGGCTGCGTGGTGGTGTGTGAAAATCGCAATCCATTGAGCCCGGTGTCCAGTTCGTCCGATTATACGCCTTTGGACCAAATCAGACGTCCAAGGTGCCCAATACACTTCGATGCCCAATCGAGACGACGACCACTGCCACAACCGGGAAAGTGTGCGTGGTTCGTACGCCTCTTGATTGGTTTGGAATGAGGGATTTTGGCCAACTCCACTAGGTGAACTACCAGAACACTAACTTTTTTTATTGCACACCTAAGTGTCATAAACAGCAGACGGGGCGAACCCCATATTCATGAGGACCTGCTGTTCAGTGATGGAAACCGGCAACCTAAGCCCCGGGACTTATAGTGGCAAACCACGTAAGGGTTAGGCGTGGTATTGAACCGGACGACAGTAGAGCTGCCTACCACCAAAGTCGGGAGGCGGTGGAGGGGCTCGAACCTCGGACCACAGGGTCTAAAGTACGCCGGTGACAGCGACTAAACTACTGCGCCACCACCCTAACCCGGTTATAGCCCTACTGTGCTTCTAAGCGAAGATCCAGGTAAGTTACAAGCTTTTCTGGATAGCTTGAGTGCCAGCGTAGCCATCTTTGATATGCATTTTGCACCTTTGAAGTGTAAAATATTGCCGTAAGATTGGGTTATTTCAGCCCCCAACCTCACTCTAACTGGGCAGATAATAAAGCAGGTGGATAAGTTTTGTTATTTGGGCAGCTACATCTCACCCGGTGGACGCATCACGGATGAAATGTCAGCTCGGATACAGAAGGCTCGGTTGGCATTTGCCAACTTGAGACATCTGTGGCGCCGTCGCGACATCCGGCTGTCTATGAAGGGTCAAGTATATGCTACAGCAGTTCGGCCATTTCTGCTTTATGGGGCAGAAACTTGGCTCCATGGCCGGGGACCTCGAGATCACGGTCATCGATGGTTGGAGACCGTGATATGGCTTAGTGTCGTAAACAATGGGGTTCGTGAATCTTCTCAATTTCTTTGCAACATTAGTCCACTGAACTTCTCTATTTTTATTTGAATCTACTTTCATCTTTCTTTTCCTTCTACTGTTCATCCAAATAGGCAGCCAAAAGACAGTGACTAAAACCGGAGCACGAAAGTGTATAGTTAATGGTTGTTCAAACTGAAGTGAACTTGTAGTCCCAGATCCCACTATACTCATAGCCGAAGCCGAGTCCGAGATTACGGTACGTTTTCACCCGAATTCACCACGGAAAGTGGTGTTCGACAGGGTTGCCCTCTCTCCCCTCCTCTATTCAACTTTGTTATACATTTGATTATGAAAACAGCCCTATCTTGGTGCGAGGATAGTGGCATCGGTTTACCCCCAGGTGACAGGCTGTCCGATCTATAGTATGCACACGATATTGTGCTACTAAGTGAAGATCCAGGTAAGTT